GCAAATCGCCGAGTTGGAAGCTCGAGTTGCAGTCCGAAGTCCGGGCTTTCCCAAGCTCCCAAGCCCGCTTGAGCTCCCGAAGTATGTTGTGTCTGTGTCTTTCATGCAGGGAGCTGTGCGAAGGGATGGGTGACGACGTGCTCGAATGGTAGACAGGTAGACACAACGCGTACAAGCCGGCATTCACCTGCATGTATGTACATATACAAAAATTGCTGTCTGCCTGTGTGTATGCATGGATGTATGTAGGTCCGTAATGCATGGATCCCTATATGTATGCCTGCGCTCATCCGGGTATACCGACCAGGCATTAAGTCATACAGTGGTGTGTTAGTTTAACTTTGAAGCCAGCTGGTGCTGTATTGTACATGAAAGGCATACTTGATTTAACAGTACTTGTATGTGCAACTATGCTGATGTGTGTATACATATATTCATATATATATATACACACATGCGGGAGCCATATATATATATATATATATATATATATATATATATATATATATACGTACATATGCATATACGAACCTGCAACTTACGTATACCTAAGTATGATGCATGCATGCATGGATGCTTGTATTTCGGTCTGTGCCGTAGACCGGATCCAAAAAGACCTTCTAGACCCGACACATTTCGAGCTTGGAATCTGGCCGACATCAGCAACAAGTGCACGGCCAGGCTTAAGAACGCTCCTGGACCCAACAAAACTGCTCAGGAAAATCAAGTTGACTTAGCTGATTCTTTGAAGAGCTCCTGGAGGCTGACTTGGGACTTGAAAGCTAGCCGACATCACCAACAAGCGCATGGACTGGATCCCAAAAAACCCTCCTCGACCCAACAAAGCTGCACAGGAAAACTCAGTTGAACTTAGTTGATTTGTGTTGAAGAACTTCCACAGGCTGACTTGGGCCCTGAAAGCTAGCCAACAAGACCAAGTGCAGAGGCCGGATCAAAAATGCTCCTGCAAATTTCCAGAGAAAAAACATATAATTTAAGGCTTCTGGAGGCTGGGTTGAGCTTTGAAAGCTGCTAAAAACTTCCAGCCTACTGTGGCAAGGCCTCAAAGGCTACGTGCAACTATAAGCCAGGCGCCAACCACCGAGAGTGTGATGGTTCAAGCATAGTGACCGCCGGCCCAAAAAGAGTACCAACAACCACGTCGCCTGTGGGATTTTGGGTAAAGGGCTTTAGGGCTCCTTTCTTTGAGGCCTCCTTCGAGCCAACTCAAAGCCATCTGGGGGTTTCTTCCGTACTGTACTTTCAGTATGCACGAGGCAACCATTGGGGTTTTTGGAAGTGAGAGCCCAGGAGAAGCAACATCTCGGGAAGTCTATGCCACCGGCAACGGGCGGCACCAAAGCAACACGAGTCTTGCGGCGTGTGCCCCGCCAAGCAAGTCATTTCCAGTGAACTTTGCAACCGGCCCTGTGCTTCCTCAGCCCGTCTATAGCAGTACGAGCCAAGGTCTGCAGTGAACCGAGCCTTCCGGGACCAGACCCATGGTTTCAGCTTGAAGACGATCTTCAGGAGCTGGATCAGACGTAGCAAAGCAGTGCAATGTCGTGGGTGATGCCCGGACGTGGGTGATCTAGACTGGAGTCAGGCTTATGCCGTCAGTGGGAAATCGTAGGTGCACATTCTCAGCGCAGCCGCTGCGCAGGACATCCACGCAGTCTGCCATCGGAATCTCGGATTTAGCTTTATGCCTTCACTCAGAGCATTCCAGACCATAAACACGAATAGCGGGATTGAATCTGGGCATCTCTGCAAGGCAAGAGTCAGATCTTGCCTAGCGAACATGCCTGCAAGGAGCCATTCTAACATGGGGAGGCTGCGACCTTCGGGCACATGTCCTGAAGGGCATGAGCTGGAACCTGGGCTTGAATGCGACTCAGAGGTGGAATGCATAGGTTGCAGCGGCAGATGCCCTGTAGGCTCCCGAAGCTTGGCCCAGTCTGAGGCAAGTTAAGAAGGAACTTTGCAAGGGATAGGACGACTAAGCTTTACCCAAGCACTCCTGTCAGTGACTTCCAGCCAACTCAGGTAGACTTGGGAAGCAGTGCAGAGCCATCTCCTGAAGCTGCCAAGGCCTTGAAAAGCAGAGTAGGGAGACGTCACAGGACGTTGGATTCGACTCTGAGGGCTCGAAGTTGCGTTCGCTTTTTCCACCTCTCTGCATCATGTACTCGTCCTACCCTGCTTCGCAAGCAGGGCACGGTTGCCGTTGCATGGACCAGCCCGAAACGAAGTCCCCAGCATGGCAGATGCTGTGTCCAGGTGGCGTACACTGAATGGCACTGTGATGGTGCCGGTTGCTACGGAAGCTCACTTGCTCCAGACCTCGGGCGCTACCATTGCAGCCTTTGTCAGCACGACTTGTGCCAGAACTGCGCCCTGGCAGCCTAACGCACATGTCAGGAGTCAGTATGACGCAATTTGCAAGGTGGGTGGTTGCAATTCTGCAGTCGACATCCTGTTTGCGGTCCGCTCTTCTGGTCAAGTCTTGCAAAGCCCGAGTTGCAGCTTGCTGTAGAACAGAACAGGTGCGTACCGTTCAAGCCTTTCGAGCTTTTCCTCCAGAAGCACCCCATGATTCGGCCCCGCCAACTGAGTGGTGCACACGAAAATCCTCTGACCTGCCAATCTGTGCTGGGAACGGTACAGTCTTGAAGCTGTCAGTCTGTGGTCTTCGGTTCGAGGCTACGACCAGTTGGTGCGTCAGCCTCAGACGGAGCGGGTGCGCCGCACTTCCCTTGTGCCAGTCAAGCCAAAGCCGGAGCCATCGAGGCCAGGCCGGATTCTGACTTGTGATGCGAAGCGCAGCTCCCTGAAAGTGCTTCTGCCAGGACCCCGCGCCGACCTGTTCTTGCTTGGGCGGAGCCAAAGCCAAAGAGTCGCTCCGAAGCAAGTGAAGGACAGGCCACCCAGGCCCCCCAAGCCGCCCACGGCCCAGGCCAGAGTCAAGCTCAGGCCCAGGCCCAGTGGGCACCCAGCAAAAAGCAGCAAAGCCTGGAGCGCTTAGAGGAAACTTCCAGAGCGCCAGCAGCGCTCCGCAAGCCTCGTGGTCAGAGCCCGCGAAAGCCTCTGCAGTTTCCTCAGCTCCGTGGTCCTGTTGAGACCTCCATCACTTCCTTCGCTTCAGCTTCCACGGCCTCCACGACCCCGGAACCCTTGCGGAAGAGGCTGCATGCGCAAGCAGAGCAAAGGAGAAGCTACGCACCTGTCCGAGGCAAACGCGCTACTGCCTCGCTGCCCCCATTGTCGCTCGCGACGCCGCGAATGCAAGCGGCCCCTTCGGGCCCGACATCGACAAGACGAGAAGATGCGGAGCAGAAGTCTGGTCCGCTCGCTTCAGTCGAACGGGAAACCCGCTTGCTGAATGCTTCCGACAAAACCCGGGCGGCCGTGACGGAGAGCCCCAGACTTGACCACGGTCGTGGCCAGTCGCAGCCTCCCACCAAAGCTGTGCCCCCGAGCAATGGTCAACCTGCATCTGCTCGGCGCCCCGTGCCTGCAGCAATGGCAGCAGCAGCCGTTAGCCTTCTGCCCGAGACAACTGACATGAGGGCCTTGCTGGGAGACCTGAATGCGAAGCATGCAGGATCTGCCACGTGAGGTTCAATGACCGGATAGAACCCTGAGTACTAAATCTGCTAACGCTAATGCTTGAAGAGTGGAGAGGAATACCCTTACCATCTGATGGCATGACATCTATAGGCTATAGGTATACAGGTTCTCAGAATTTGCAGGAGCACCCAGACTCCTCCAAACAAACTCTTCGGCAGCGTGTGCTGGTAAAGCCATTGCCAAAAATCAAGGACACAATCAAACACATGTGATGCAGGCAGTCACAGCGTGTGCAGCCAGCGTAGACCCAGTGATCCTCATATTTTGGTCGGTATGATGGAGGTTGCACGTGAAGTCGCCCGGTATGCAGCTGAGATCGAGCAGTTCGACACTCAGGACAGCGAAGATGCAATACCGCCTCAATGTGCCTGCAGACTCCACTCCTAAGTTTGCCTGCACGGGTTTGCCCCTTGCGACAGCCTTGATGCCTCCCATCTCTGAGTTCGCAGCAAGGTGGAAGCGCCAAACCGAGCAGGTGCGGCGGCAGAAGACTGGCGAAGTGACCAGGTGGGGCATGGACGGCCCGGCATGGATGCCTCAAATCACCAGCCCCTGCACCATGATTACCCGTGTGCAGAGAGACTCAAGACTTGGCCCACTGACTAGACCTGCTCAGGCAGTACCAACAGCACGAAGTCACGGTGCAGTCGGTGCCTCAAAGTGCAACCAAGTGCTTAATTCTTTGGGACAACTACTGACTACGGACACCCGATGCCCTTGTCAAGTCTTGTGCTCGAATTGCAACAGGACATTGAACCAGCGCATCGACAAGCTGCAGAAGGAGATCATCCAGTGCGACAGGTGTGCAGGGAGCCGAGAAGAACGTCTTTGATCACGAAGCCTACCCAAACAAGTGGGTTGTAAATCAGAGGATCGAGCAGAAAGGCATGGCCCAGTCTGACAAAGGGGCGAACAGAACGGCACAGAAGACAGCCACCACCGCGACAGCACCAACAATCACAACATCGATCACGACGACGAGGAGGAGGATCGCAGCAGCAGCGGCAACAGTTTCTTTTAGAACGATGAGAAGAAGTGATGATGGTGATGGCGATGATGGCGGCAGAAGCAAGGAAACGCTGGAAGTAGGAACCACAGTAACGGCACATGGTGGGTGATGATAATGAGGGTGTATGTATATATATATATATATATATGTATCACCACATGTGGGGCAAGTCCGAGTCCCCGACAGCAAGGCCAAGTCCTGGGAGGAGGAGAAATCCAGAAGGCGCGCGCTATATCGGGTGATACGGCTGCATTAGGGCCAAGTTTGGGGGTGTACATGATTCAGTCTCGAAGAGGACCCCAACACACGGCGCTTATGTGTCGCAGTTTTCTGCTTCTGGCGAAAAGGCTGATTGTTTCCACTACCATCAGCTTTTGGACGTCCCGGCTTGCAGGACGAATTCTGCTCCGACGTCGCCAACTGCCTCTGGCCCAGTCTGCCTGAGTGGCGCAGTCCGAGATGGGGTCAGCTGCATTCTATGCAGTGTCGGTGCGCAACTAGATGCTGCATATGCCCAGCTGGAGGAGCGCGAGATATAGCTTCTCTGCAAGGAAAGCAGAGACTCGTGCTATGAGCCCAGGTTCTCCCTGGTCTGGTCATCTTCCAGAGGCCACTTCCCAGCCCGGATCTCAAATCTACTCCATAGACACGAAGGGTGAGACGCATGTCCAAAGTACAGCTGGCTTTCAGCAAATGCAGAGATCTAGATGTGCCACTTCCATTCCATTGGGGAGGCTCAGGCGGCAAACTGAGATTCGGTTCTCGACATAAGGCAATCACGACAGAAGAAAAGCCCTTCTGATCGGCGTGAACTACTCGAACTCCCACGCTCCCCTGAAGGCGCGGCTTTGTAGCTGTTATTGGATCTCCACCGAATTTCCCGACGAGTGTTATGTATGTGCACATACAACTTATGCAGGCAGATGGGTGGGCAGGCATATGCGTAAATTATACAGTTTATATAGAAATATACATATATATATATATACACATACATATAAGAGATTTATGTAGTTACTTATTTGTTCATTAATTTGTCTATGTTTTTACTTATCCGTGCCCGTCCAGACTCCCGTGAGTCTTTGACCAGAGCACAGCATATGAAGAGGGGGCGATTTTGTGCTGCAGGAAGGGCCGACATCAGTGCTTAGGATTCCTCGATTTGCTCTCTGCAGCTCGCAGGGACACGTGGCTGCTTCAGTAGCCTTTGCTCAGCGGGAAGCATCATTCAGGAATCATTCCCCCTGACATCGGCCAGGGCTGCGTCAACGATGTGTGGAACATGCAGTGTTTGCTGCGGTACACCCTTCGGTGCCCACTAGAGGTCTCATGCCTGACAAAACGGAGCAGGCATTTCTTCGCACGGGAAAGGAGGCGAGCACAGACGAGGGGAGCTTCCTCTGGGAGGGGAGAGGAACAGTCAGGAACAGCGAAGACACTGAATCGCAAACAGATGCAGGTACACCCCCGAACAGCTGCAGCTGCTGGTCGACGGCGCAGACGGGCGATCCAGGCGCTGGAAGCAACTCTTCACAGCCCGGCCTAGTCGTCGCCAGTGTTGCGGTCAAGTTTCAAGTACAGGTGAACGGCTTCTGTTGCAGTAAGTTGACTTTGCCGGTCAGCATCTTTGGCTGAACAAGAGGGCTTGGGGCCAGCAATACTCGTGCAAGACGTGATGCGGGACCTTACTTGTGGCATTGCTGCTGCACCCTCCTGTGCTGTTGAAATCCGGCAGGCCGGACAGAGCCCCGACGAAGGCCTGCTGGTTTCGGTTCGGTGTTCCGGCGCCTTGCGATCTGCATAAATTGTGTATCGGCGCGGCGCCACACTGCTGCCCTTCCATTCTTTTGGCTGGGTGGATTGTAATATGGAGGTGTGCCCCGCTCATTCGCTCATCTATGCCGTTTGCCACGACAAAGTCCAGTTTCGGATAGTTCCAGCGCCAACAAGCTGCAGAGCCAGTTGAGCGCCTGCCGATGGTCACGAAACACAGCAATGTGGCAATTTGAAGTGTAGTGAAGTGTAAGTCTGTAAGTGTTCCTCAAAGTAGGAGTAAACTCCTTCTACGGTGGCTTCCTGAGTTGGCGTCGTTGTGGCTTCATCTTGTGTTGAGGCTGTTTCATGCAGGGCTGACTCGGGCTTGCCACCTGTTCGTCCGACTGCGCACCAAGAACCTCGTCTGGCTGTGTCCGAGTTCCGAGTTGCGAGAGCGTAAGTCTATTGATTCAGCAAAGCAACAGTAGAATCGAGATCCCTTGCCAACGATGCAGCTGTTGCCCTTTTGTTTGATACTGCCACGGATAACCCTGCAGCAACGAATTTTGTGCGAAGGGTTCAGGCAATACAAATAATTATGTTTGTGTGTGTGTGTTGTCGTAAATATGGTCATGTATGTGCTGTTTGTTCTTGCAGTCCGACTGCGCTCCCACTACTACGCTCAGAGTTTGAATCAGTAGTGCAAATAGTCCGGATCCCGCCAAGTGCCGGCTGTGTTGGGCATCGTGCTGATTGCCTCCGACAAAAATTCAGATGTGTGATCTTTCGGGGACCTGTGTACTGTTGCAGTAACAGTGTCGCTTGTGTTGCTGGCTTTTGGAACGCCCTGTTACCATCGTGGCGAATATGAAACGTTTATGTATCTTCGTTGCCACGACCGATGGCATGACTATCGAAATCATAGTTTTCGCACCATCAAGGTCCACCTTAATGGCACCAGAACCATGTTCGTGCAACTGTTGATGGCGGTTGTTGGAACAGTAGCATACGACATCGCACTTGCAATGGCCCGCCAAGGCCAACATCTTGGCCAGAGCCCTGCTCAACCCAGCTTGCTTCAACGACGGTTCAACCGTTTTCGTATCAGTTCTTGCTTCAAGTTCTATTGACATGCTACGCTTTGGTTTCCAACATTTCGGCCGCGTTTGTGCTGCAGCTATCACGGTGGTCATGTGGGAAGTGTCAGTGTGGAACGACGAGACGCTCGATGTCTCGTATCGGGGCAACCACCTGTAACCTCAGTAGCACCTTGACTGCAGCATTAGCTTAGCATGTCTCATTGCAGCAGCACAACCAGGAGACTGGGGTACATATTCTCCAGCATTCATCACAGGGATACAGTGAGGCAGCTATACTATTTCAGTCAGCCTAGCAAGCCTAGCATCCCTCACATGCTACACTGAGGCCGGCCTGCAGTGGTTAGTTGAGGACGTCCGTCCGGGCCACTGCCTTAACACACATCAGATGGCCATGCTATACACGGCAGAGGAGGTTTGTGGCCTTCGGAGGTTCGGAGCCCAAAGGCTAGGCAGTTGAGGTGTGTTTGTGTTGGGATAGTCTTTGAGGTGACCATCTGCTGCTGGTCTTCAGCGGCTACGGTGCCCAGCATCCACGGACACCGGGCTCCAACAAGTGCGAGGTGCATCGGCAGATCTGAGCGCGGCTTTGGCAAGGATGACAGGCTAAGGCAGCCATATGTTTGTAGTGTGGCTCATGGCACCTGTCTCATCTTGCCAACTGCTTGCCAGAGCTACCTGGTGCCCTCGGACTTCGCTGCAGACCTGCCCAGTGACTTCTTTGAGGCTGGGTAGCATGTTGTGCCGAACAGGGGTCATACTGCAGGAGTTGAAGAACTGCCTCAAGTGCGGCCACCACTGATCTCTTCTCGCTGCCTCCATCTCTTACCTACGTAGCTGCGGTACTGGTCTCTCTCGCTCTCTCGCGGCAGGTGGTTGCCAGTGCCTGCAAGAGCCCAGCCCAGCCAAATGCCTGCAGCTGAGATTCTGGGGAGCTCGGCACCATTCAAAAAGTCGGGCTTGATCATCACCTCGCACACGAGTCGCGAAGGTTGCCAAGTTCTGTGACTTGCTGCCAGCGCAGGTCATAGACCAAACTGCGAAGATGGCAGCGGGTGCAGCGCCAGGTACAGATTTGCATTCTGCTCCAGGGGCTCGGTTTGATATTCCGATGCCTTCACACTCATCTAGGGGCATCGAATGTGCGAAACCTCTAAGACGGCCTGAGAGCAAACACGTCGCAAGGGCCGCAGGGCAAGTGACAAGTACTCAAGAAGGCAATCAGTGTCCGGGTGGTGTGCGCCGGCCCACACTCGCCCAAATGCGTCGCTGGTGTTGTTTGTGAAGGTGGCCCAGAAGAGATCGAAAGGCAGGCAGCCGCGGCGCAGAAGGCACTTCAGAACGTGTGGATGACGATGATGATGATGATGATTTTGATATGATGGTCGTGGTGACTGAGATGGTGCTGATTGCTGATGCCGGAGCCGGTGGCAGTGGCGGTAGTGGTGAACAATACCGTGACTGGCATGGTTGTCTACATTGAGATCATCATCTCAAATATCAGGATATGTTGTGCAGTGTAGTGCCTGCGGATTCTTTAGCATTCTTCAGCGATTCAGATCCAAAATCTGGTTCAAGTTGATGGTGCCTGCCTAGGGCAATCTTGAAGGCCTTGGGAAACTCCAAAGCCAGCTACCGGCTTATCTCGATGCTGGAGGCCGGGAATCTGAGCCCTTTCTGATCTACCTTGAGCTAAGATGTCGAGACAGGCACTAAACTGGCTTCTTCACTTCTTCACAAACAGAAACGTACCGCGGCTTCGTAGTAAATAATCGACAGGAAGCATACAATGTCAAATGTACTCGGTCATGACCGTCATTCTGCTTGCCTCGGTCCCCGATCCTCCACAATCCCTGCAGTCATCAGGTCCACGACTTCCTGAGCCAGCTGCCCCAGAGGCGAGATGCGCGGGCACATCATCCTCCTCCTGTCTTGCGAGGGTTGAGCTCCTTCAGACAGGTGCTGTGTGTCTTTGCTCTTGGATGCCTGCTACACCATCCTTCCTGGAGTGCCCTGGCTATTGTCTTGGCGAAGCATCAGGTACCAGTAGTATGTAGCCGCTGTAGCCATATACGACAAGAGACAAGAGGGGGGGCATGGTGCAAAAGGGATATCATACACTGGTTGAGGCATCTTCAATCGGAGACTTGGCCAGAAGTCGGATAGGCTTGAGACATTTTATGTCTACCAAAATGTTTGAAAACCAAATAATTTCCTTTATGGTTTCACTATGATTTCAATATGATTTTCATTTACGGTTTTTTTATGAAATATTTATGGTTTTGGTATGATTTAGTATGAACCTATAGTAAAATCATATTGAAACCATAAATTTTCCATATATTTATGATTTCACTATGATTTTACTATGGTTTCACATATTGCCCTTGGTTCTTCAATATTTCCAATGGCTTCTATGGAATATTTATGGTTTTGATATGATTTAGGATGACACCATAATGAAGTCATATTAAAACCATACATATACCATAATTTTGCATATATTATATTGATGATTACACTATGGTTTCAGGGAGGGCAGCCCCAGCCAAAACCATAAATTTTCCATAAAGGAAAAGGGCAGACCTCTTTTGCGTCATAAAAAAACCATAAAATTTCCAGATTTGGGAGCTGATTTTCGTGCGTCCCTATTAAATTTACTATAAATATATGAAAAATTTATGGATTTTTTATGATTTTACTATGATTTCAAGCGGCACCCCTCCCCCCCCACCCCCCCACCCCACCCCCCCAACCCCCCCCCATCCCCCCCCATCCCCAACTCCCTCCCCTAGCCCCAGCCCCACAAAATAATACAAACACACCAAACATACCTAAACAATACATAAAAAAACCATAAAACAAACATAAAAAAACATAAAATTTTCATAACAAAAATCATATCAAAATCATATTGAAACCATATATTTTTGGTCATAAAAAATCCATAAATGAAAACCATAGTAGAATCATAGTGATTTCATAAAAATAATTATTTATGTTGAGGCCTTGTTTAGTATTCCCCAAACACTCAAGGATAGGCATCTTCCTGCAACGCACTGCACGGTCAGCCCCTGAGTCTCAAGATGTCTCCTCTGAGGCTGGCCCCGAGAGCAACTCCCCTGCGACCTTCCGGAAGGCTGGGAGCCGAGGGCACAGAGCCGCACTCACTGTGTCACTCTCCGCGCACAGATCTTTCGCAGCAGCGCCCCCGCAATCTGCAATCTGTTTCGGTCGATGGCATCTTTGTAGCACAGCATGACAAGCACGAAATGTTGGGCAATTCGTTACCCAGTGCGGCCATGCAGGTCGACAGGGGTCGGGTGGAGTACGACAAGCTCCGCGACTTCATGAGCCTTGCCCCCGGCACAACGACAGCCTCTGCAGGCTCCACACCTTGGTGCGCCGAGCTTTGCTGCAACTCGGGGCGAAACACAGCGAAAAAAAGGCAAACAGTCACGATGCCAGCATTGCTATCGTTTTGTCAAACGACGCGCATGCGTAAAAAGCATCAATGCATTGGATTGCAAAGTGAGCCTGCTGCGTCATAGCAGCTGGCAGGGTAGCTTCAGGATTCTGAGAAGTGCCGGATGCAGTTTTGGAGCATGCAAGCTTCAAGTGCAAGGCATGGAAGATACGCATGCGGCGTCATGTAGTTGGGTTTGCTAGGAGATCCGTTAGGAAGCCGAGTCATTTCCGTGGCGTGCTGTCCGAGGTCGCCCACGCTTTCTGGAATTGCCACCCTTACCGGCAAAGACCTTAAGAATCGATTTCGCAGACATTTGAGCAGGACATCAATCAACATGCAGGAGACTGGACTATTTTCGGAGTGGATGATCACTTGCTTGCATCTGGCAGCGTCCGTCGCACGCACGATCACCTGTCTGATGTTTTGTGGCCGTCGCCCACAACTCGAGATCGAGACCTCTGGAGAGCAGGTGCAACATACACCTGCACATCTGCCTCGCAGCAACAGCTTTCTGCCATGCACGTCCGAACCTCAGATCGAGACGAGCTTGTCCGAAGCACAAGCGTCTCACAGGACGGAATTCTGAGATCTAGATGACACCACAACCACTGTATGCAGAGAAGCTCAGCTCATACTCATCCGAACATTCATGCCGCCGTTGCAGAGAAGTTAATGGGTGACTATGACTATGGCACCTGGAAGTTGTTGGTTCTGCACTGCACTCAGGCTCCATTGCTTCTCTGGCTGCAGGCGCCTTCCCATATAAGCTAACTGAAAACTGCAGGGCTTTTCCGAGGATTCGGGATGCGACTTCGCGAAGCGATCGAAAGTGCTTGCACACGGTGGAGACAAGCCGAGCAGCTCCTACCCAACTCAGGGCTTTCGAGTTTGGGGCCGGTTGGGGGCGGGAGTGTGGATGGGCCCTGAGCCAGTCTTGGCTGGCGCCGTGCATCGCAGCCACTACAACTCCGCTGTCCTGACGTCGAAGCCTTCATAAAAGTCTTAGACTCCCCAACCTGACAGGCTCAAGGAATGGTGTGCCGAGTTCCCGATTGAAGGCTCCGTGCAAGGGGCCTTCAGCCGGGGACCTGGGAAGGTCCAAGAATCTTTGGGGACGGCTGTCCTGTGAAGGTCGAGGAAAGTTATGTCGGTTGCGTTCGCTGGAGCAGAATGGAGAGTCATCGAGAGCCGATGTGGCTGGCTCAGGCTGGGCCTTCTTGAAAGCCCTAGCACAAGGACACTTCCACATCGGCGTGTACCAGTGCGAGTCTTGGAAAGTATTCCGTTCTACTGTGCAACAGCAGTCCAAGACTTGTTGTTGTGAGGTTGCAGATACATATCCTCCGCTGAGGGCAACATGCGCAAATATTGCGAAGCTCACGGTGAGATTTGAATGTGTAGACATCTTGTCCACACAACGCATACCCTCACATAGTACGGTGTTAAATGCACTTCGTTTCGGTCTCTCTCTCTGTCTCTGTATCCCTCACTCTGCTTCTTTTTCCCTCTTCGTCTCTTTGGCTTGTGCTTCCTCTCGGTGTCGGTGTACCTGTATTTAAATGTACATGGTACGTAGGCAACTGTTTTTGCATGGCAGCATGTATGCGCAGGCATGCAACCGTCTGTGTGTGTGTATCTGTTTGTCTGTTTGTCTGTCTGCATGTCTGTCTGCATGCATGCATTTCATCCATGCATTTCTTCCGGATATATGTAGCGCATGTAACGATGAAGCGCATTGTATGCGGATACACATGTAGACATGCATGCGTGCGTCCATGCTCACGCTGTTGACAAGGGAGCACGAAAGCCGAGAGGGCAGCCGATTGCTCTGCCACCACCCAACAACGGAAATGATCCAAGATGTGCCTGTACAGCTAAGCACCCGCAAGACAAAGCACATGAATGAAGCCGCTAGTTATGCTGTCTATTTCAGTCTGACAGCAAGTGCCGTCAGCCTTCGTCGATGCCAGAGAGAGTTCAGGTTTCAGCAGCTGGTGAGCAATATCCTTCTGAACCTCAAGGCGGCGACTGCAGTACTTCAGGATACTTCAGGCTTCGGCTCAGATGTGTCTATACCCACCGCGGCAAACCTTGGACAGCTTTCCGGTCTTATGCAGATACACATGCACTGTCCCAGAAGCTTCGGCAAGAGACTCTGAGTGGCCTGCGCACACTGTCAGGGATACTTTCGGCATATCGACCAGCAGCCAGTTCTCCAGCTTTCGGCTGCTGCCAGCCCCCAGGCCAAACACACGTCGTAGGTGACAGCTGCCGCAGATGCAACGTGTGCTTGCTTTGTTTGCTCGAGCTGGTATGCCTTCGTACGCCGTACGCGCCGTACACTTATTATCTTACGAGAAGTGTGAGCAGTTATGACTCAAGTTATGACCATCCTGACGCTGTGTGCAGCCAGGACGTGGTGTTGTGGACATGAAGTGACTTGAAATTCGCCGCCGCGCACTGACAAAGACATGCAGTTCCTGTGATGCAAAGACGTTGGCTTCCGCCCAGCCCAAAGCTCCGGTGAGAGGGGCATGTCACAAGGAAAGTCTCTTTGATTGCACAGATCTCTCAAAGCACCGGCAACAATCAACTGAGCGTGGTGTAGACTCTCGCGGCAGCGCGTTATTCTTGAGTTGAAAAATGTTGAAGGCAGGGGCTGAAGCCAAGAGCCTTTCTGCGAGGACTCACTAGAAGAGATTAGAAAGAGCGAGGCAGAACTGAGCGACGCAACGAAGACACAGAAGGCCAGTCGGCTAGACCAAAACTTTGGTCGCTTTGGTGACGCCTGGCAACCTGGTAAATGCAAGTCCGGCAAGATCCAGGCCGAGGGGAGAGGCCTGCGCATCTCAGTCGATGGCATCGTTTTTTGCTCTCTCCCCGAACACGCCTTGGTGACTGCTGTGCTTCTGCGCTTCGGCGCAGCTTCGCTTATGCACGCACCGGAAGCAGGCAAGCCTCCTTGCCGGTGACATTGCACGGCTTTTCGGCATGAAGCTTCAAACGCCGAGCCGCAGTCAGCCTACGCCTGTGATGTGCGAGATCCTAGCACAACTCGAGCCAAGCCTTTGAAGCGGATCGGACTGCCGTGCATCTCTTGCCCGATGCCCGACCACGCATGTGAGTTGAAGCAGGGCATGTGGCCTATGGCGAAAAAGTTGTGCTGCTGTGGGGGCCCAGCTGGCACGTTCGTTTTGCAAGGAGCAAGTCGAACCTTTGTTTTTGCTTCGTTTGCTCCCTGGCAGTTTCAAGGGCGTTTATCTCAATTACTAGACGTGTGAGCCATCGTGCACCCTCGAGGACTAGCAGAGAATGTCAACTCATGCGAAACCAAGACTTCCCTACCAGGCTAGTGTGGTAACTAGGGCAGGCCAATGAAGCGTCAATTTGCTGCTGCTCCGGAAGCTTAGTCTGGCAGATCAGTATCGTGCCTCGCGTGCCGCGATTCATGAATGGCCGAGGTCGATGAGGCGCACGTAAACATATGGATTCAGACAATCAGGCTGCATAGAGTTGCACGAGTAGTAGCAGCAGTAGTAGTGGTAAGTGGGTAGGTAGGTAAGCAGTAGGTAGGTCGGTAGGTAGGTAGGTAGGTAGGTGGTAGTAGTAGTAGTAGTGGTATAGGTAGTAGATAGTAGATCGTAGATTGTAGTTAGTAGTAGTAGTAGTAGTAGTAGTAGTAGTAGTAGCAGCAGCAGCAGCAGCAGGAGTAGTAGTAGTAGTAGTAGTAGTAGTAGTAAGTTGGTGTTGTGGGGTTGCTTGTGACAGTGAACTAGACCGCGACTCCCTGCGGGACTCCAGACCTGGATGCCGGAAGAACTGGAGCCGATCAACTGGTGCGAAATACCAGCAGCTTTTCAGATACTTACGATATAAGAACAACGACCAGAATGACAGTGAAATGGTGCGTCTGTGTTTTCAGCTTGCCATCAAGGATGCGGTTTCTGTCGGAGCAAGATCATCTGTTTCACATTAGCTCCATATATCGTAGGCTCGCCCTTGCAAGACGGGTGTGAAAATGCAACTTCACTGGTGAGAGGTCGGAAAACGACCCATGCGGTTTGCTAATTTCACGAATACGCTGTTTTTCCTTCCCGCCTAATGCTACACAGTCAGTCTGGTGTTCTTGGGCATGCTACTTCGCTTTCCCCTTTTAATACAATTTATGTATTCAAGAGTAGTACTGATGCTATTGCCTTTGTTGTGAGGGCTTCTACTACTACCTGCTTCAACCCCCCGTGCTCCACGCTACGACTGTATTCCTCCCCCCCTCCTACTGCTACCTTGTTCTTCGTCTGCTTCTTAGCTTCTTATTACGACGATTACCACCACCATAAAACTGCTACTTCTGGTCCTACTTCTACTGCTGCCATAGTGCTACTGCTACCCCTATCCTTACTCCTACAGCTATTACTACTACTACTACCACCACTACTACTGCTCCTACTGCGACTACGACTGCTGCTGCTGCTGCTACTGCCACTACTGCTACACTACTACTACTACGACGACGACTATGACTAAGAGCCGTGTCTTCATGTCAGGGCTCCGTTGTTTGATGGAAATTGAGAGGTGGCGGACTTCGTTCCCGGAGGGCGCGAAGCTCGCTCCAATTCTAGGCCGGACACACCTGGCGAATGCACCAACGATCCGGAAGAGAAAGCTTGCATTTGGGAGAAGGGGGATTTGATGGAGCACTGAGCGTATCAGTCAGAACCTTGCAATCCCAAGCCAGCTTGTCCTCGTTTGAAGGGCGCGGTCCCTTTCCAATGGCAGACGGCCGTCCAAAGCTGATGGCCAAACTCTGGGAGTGCGAACGGTGCTTCTTTGCTGCACAGAGATGACACTTGGCCCATGCCGGTTCGACTTCCGCGGGTCTTTACCCCTGGGCGGAGCATTTGCGCAGTTTTCACGGCACTACGCAGCTGTTCATGCAATGCTATCAGCCTCTGTGCTATCCATCGCAGCGAACCCTACAAGCGAACAAATAGATCAAGCGTGTTACTGACACTGAGGACGCCGCCTTTGCAAAACGTGCGGCAAACTTAGATTGCACCGATGGTTTGTGAAGGGTTTGAGCTTCCAACTGCAAGTGATGAGACTTACCAGACTTCTTCGGCCACTTCGTGATCAGTTGCAGGTGCACATGAAAGCAGCGGCAGACAGACAAAATTGCGTCTACGCCTTCCCAAGACCTGGCCGTTTCTGAGGGCTCCTCCTCACACTATCCCACAGTACTTAGTAGCCAAAAGAACCCACCAGCTCTTGAATCGTAAGGGATCTGAACGTTGGCCATTTTGCTGGCAGCCGGATATCCGGAAGGCTGGAGCAGATGTTCTGGTCGCTAGTTTTGGTGGCATCGATCGGGGGATAGGCCGCAGATGGAACATATCACCTGAAGCATTGACAGTAGAACCAGTAGGCGCGACTCTGTCAAAAGCACCGCATCCGGGATGTCAACCAAGGGAAAATTAAATGTCAACAGGATCAGCCTGGGATCGCAAGGCGCAGTGGACTCTGAACAGCCTGCATCCCAAGAGCTCCACAGAAGGTCAACGAAGCGTATTAGGTAGTCGTTGTTTGAAGGCTCTCGCGAAAGTAAATTAGCTAACTGTGACGTATCGAGGAGTCAAAATACATACTGATGCCAGAACTGATTCCCATCCCGGTGACAAGGTTTACATGCCGTTGATCGCGGCATGTGCTGATCCAGTGCCAACAGCCTGAAGCCACAAAGCCATCCAACCGCACTTTTCGGAGGCGGCCCAGCCAGCCCAAGCTGCAGGGAAATGGGCTCAATGCTCATAGTTTCCAGTCTGGAGCCCGAGTTGAGGATGTGTTTTGCTCGCATCGGTACCTTGAAACAGCAACACTCCCTGCCACACCTTTTGCTGCGAGGTCACATCAGGGTCTTCAGGGTAGGTCCGGCACTCAATGTGTCTGAACGGGAGGGGAGAAGGGCTTTTGGTCACCTTCCGTTCAAGCGAATTGCCGTGCTGCGTTGGCACGTGGTTTGAGGCTCGCTCGCTCGCTCGCTCTCTCTCTCTCTCTCTCTCTCTCTCTCTCTCTCTCTCGCTTCTTTGCTGGTAAGTATGTCCCAGAACCATTCACAGGTGCTTCATGTCCGTACCAGGTGTAACCCTTGTTAATTCTGACGACAGCCTACAGACGGAACTATGCAGAGTTTGGAGATCAAGCTGTACTGGCAGAGTTGCAGTGTGCTGCCGTTTTGACGAGACGAGTGCACGAGTTACAGTGTCAGTCCAGTCAGTCTTATGCATCCACCCACTGCCGAGTCACATTTCTACTGCTGGCGATGGCAAGCAAGACCGGCAGAGGTCGTCCGAAAGGCCCCAATGCGCTTGCAAACCGGCTTAGCATCATTCTTGAATTGTTGATACAGTGGCCACAGTAACGCTGCAAAGGCTTGCAGGATTGACTGGCAGACTGGCAAAATGATACCTGACAGCAGCCCAGGATCAGGCTTCGGGCCGAAATAAGTTCTCGGGTTTCCTGGCTTGCTTCGAGCTCCCTTGAGCAATCTTGAGCAGAAGGGTGGCGTTGAGTGCATCTCACTATCGTTGATCACCTGGGTCGTTTCAGCTGGAGGCTAGACACTTATATACCCCCCGCTGTCATCTTCAATGGTCGCTGTGCCGTGTATGGACACCACAGAAAGTTTCTCTGCGTGCCAGGACCACCTTTGAAGCTTTGAAAGCTCGTGCTGCGCACCTTGGTCGCAGAAGTCGGTGGCACTCGAAGCCTTGAAGGAGTCGACCGCGAAACCGAAAGCTTCGCAGAATTCCGAGAGCTGCAGACATCAGCAGACCACCAGGCTTTGCATTTGTTGGGCTTCCTGATGCTTGGACCACTGATAGAGCATGAGAGGGAGTCGCGCGATTAAGACTCGGAAGTGATGCCATGCCACTGCTTGGGTTTGATTGGGTATAGAGTCTAGACAGCACGCCAAGGGGGGCCGATGCGGCGAAGGCCTTGCTGCACGGGATGGTCTCCTCTGTGGATACGAAGACCTCAAACTTGTTGACAGAGCCTAGCTGGGGCTCCGCAAACAAGCCCGAGATTCCTCTGAAAATCTCAGAAAACGATACCGACCGATAAATTGAAATCACAGCAGATTCTGAAGATCAAGTTGGAAAAACGACACTTCCAAGATCAGGTAGGCGTAATTAAGGTGTTCTGGGATCTGGGGTTCAGCAGCACCTGCCCCGTCTGCAAGAGGATTGTATGACGGGTTCTGACAGGATTAACAGCTTGTCTGTTGATGGCATTCCGCTCTTGGAAGTAAGCCTGCACGGATCAAGTTTATCAAGAAGGAGGCCCCTTCCGATTTTCATTTTCTCTCATGATCATTTGTGCAACGGTTCTGTGAGAATTCGCAGCATGCCTCTTGCTTGTATGCTGTTCCTGGAAGGAAGCTCGCGGCTCAACAGAGCAGAGCGTTCTGAGAGGATTCACACGTGTGTCTTGCGCTGCTCGGAGGGTAGTTTTCCGGCTTAAGCTATTGGGCAGTTGGAACTAGTAGCGTCGCGTTTTGCAGCAAGCCCCAGGAGTTCGAAGCCCGGCCATTCGCGAGTTCCAATGGGGCCATGGGAGACATTTGTACACGCACTTGCCTTTTTCTGTATCTTACTGTATCTCCAACATACCAAAAAAATCGTCAAGCCGCATCAGGCCTTAGGGTTCTTCTTTGTGTCCTTGGCTTTGATCTGATTTCTATAGTTCACTGTCATGAAAGGCATGAATTTGTTGTCCTCGATTTCGCATTTGCTTTCCGAATCGTCCGTGCACATGCTCAATCGGCGGCTGAAGACTGTTGGCAATACATGAAGACCTTCTTCCGGCCTGGCAAGACGCCTGCCCGATCATGCGAACTGCAGAGGCGCAGCAGGCTCGTTCTTTGAGCATCAGCGGGCAGTGCGCACGGCGCAGCCAGTCGCCTAAGCCACCTTCTCAGCAGTGCTTTGCGACTCAGTAACAAGCGGTACACATACTCGGCGAGTGCTGGAATCTCCAAAAGAGTCTTGCTGGCTGATGGCTTTCCGAGAAGAGGAACAGCGCAGCATCGGTTCAATCGTAGATGGTGCTGAGGGCGGACTCGCGACGAAGACCGTCGCGCGTCGCTTGGCGAGAGTTGTGCTGTTCAACGGGGAATCCGGGGTTGACTGCTCCTAGTCAGTAGCAACATGTTGCACCGCGACGTTTGTTGGGAGTTGAGTTAACCTTTTCTTTCACGCTGTCAAAATCTCAAGAATTCTCAGACTCTGCAGAATCGATTTTGCCCGCCTCATTCGAGCCGGTCCGGCACCCTTCCCGCCCTGGCAATGCCAGGCTGGAGTCAATGCACAGGCCCGGATTCAGGCTCACTGTCGCTTTGGGGTTCGGGGGAGGGGGAAGAGCCGGAGTGATGGTGGGGCCAAGCTCAAGCTGAGACGTTCCGGCCAGGCGGAGCCATCGCTCAAGTCCTTGCAGGCCCTCGGCTGTGTCAGCGAAGTCAGAAATGCAAGATTGCTAGGCACCAGTGCATCTGTTCACGGAACCTGCCGGGACTGCCGGCCCGTTGTCGTGAGGGGTTTGGAGAATGGCAGGACACTCTGTCAAAGCTGGAGGAGGACAAGGACAGCCTCCGCGAAACCGACGACCGTTCGCAGCACCCTACCCCGAAATTGCAAAGACACGGGAGCTGGTAGATGAAGGCGGAATGTCGGACCTCGGATCAATGAATGAATGCATCGACGGGATCATGCTTGAGCTCGGCGACGGTGAGGTGCTAATTTAATTTTCCTTTGAGCCTCTATCAAAGTCGCTGAAGCACCACCCACACTCCACACGTACACCGTCGCATTGTCGGCTCCACGCTGGAAAGAGGCTGCGGCTTGAATCCTGCAAATAGGTTCGAGCGAAATCTCCACAGCTCGTCAAGTTTTAAACTTACAACAAAGAAGGAGAGAGCTGTCTTGTCAATCCATGTCTTCTGCTTCAAGCAGACCAACTGCACAGATTCAACAGAATTCGGAAGTGTGACATACATTGATTTTTAGACTAGACACGCTAACACTCATGCCAACATAACCGTAGCCCGGTCCGGGACGTTTGGACGCTAGCTGCCCTTCGACTGCTCAGCGCCATGCTCTCCCGTCCACAGATTGGCATTCGAGATCGTGCTTTCGGCTGTCCGCTTTCATATCTGCGGTGCCGAACTGACCCCATCCGTTTTTTGCTGGATGCAGAGGCTGCAAAGTGTGCAGGACGCAGTCGGCGCAGGTGTGGTTTGACCCTGCTCACCGCACTTGCCCTGCTGAGACAAAGACATGTTCGGGTTTCGACCCGAGCTGTGAGCAAGCAGGACACCTGGAAGCGGCGGAAAAACTCTGAGCTTTACCGGGAACTGGAAGCCGACGCAGAGACAGCAGGAGAAGCACTGCATGCAGCACCACGGCAGAAACCCGAGGTGCTTGCCCCAGCCGGCGGATGGCCTCAATTGCGTGCGGCCGTCCGTGCTGGCGCCGATGCTGTCTACTTCGGTTTGGACGTGGGCCTCAACGCACGTGCGCGAGCCGCAAACTTCACCGCGGACGAACTGCCAGAAGTAATGCGCTTCCTTCATTCCCATAGGGTGAAGGCCTATGTCACACTCAACGTGCTAGTTTTCGACCATGAGCTCTTCGACTCTGCAGATTCAGGGCGTCCAGGCAGCGGCACAGCCATCCAAGCACTTCAGGTGGTGGGGGACGCAAACGTCGACGCCCTCATTGTACAAGATGTTGGCCTGGCATTGGCCTGTCGGGAGATATGTCCTCATGTTCCAGTGCATGCCTCAACACAAATGTCAATTACATCTGCACCGGGTGCGCTGCCACTCAGACCAGATAGGTTTGGAGTAGTTGGATTGGTTTTTGGGTAAGTTGTGGGACAGTTCGATGAAATGTCTACTAGTCTTAGTACAGCTTGAGCTGAGTGCAGTGCAGATCACTTGCACGAGGTTTGCACGAGAACTGCTGGGCACCGAGAGGGTCGTGCTGGGGCGTGAGCTGAGTATCGACGAGATCGCTGGCGTTTCTCGAGATGCCGCCAATGTTGAGGTTGAGGCAACGGCTTCATCCTGTCTCGTGTCAAGACCCCTTCTTCACCCTGTAAGCGATTGCTGATAGTTCCGGGTTAAGAGATGACGATGGACTGCAGGTATTTGTCCACGGGGCTTTGTGCGTATCCTACAGTGGGCAATGCTTCTCATCGGAAGCTTGGGGCGGGCGTTCGGCCAACCGTGGGCAATGTGCCCAGGCCTGCAGGCTGCCATATGGATTGATAAAGGACGGCGAGCTTGTGGATCTGGGCGATGCTACTCGATACTTGCTCTCCCCACAGGATCTCATGGCCCTGGAGTATGTACCGGCTTTGATCGAAGCAGGGGCAAGCTGCTTCAAGATCGAGGGCAGACTAAAGGGGGAAGAGTATGTGGCCCTTACGACAGCGGCGTATCGTCAGGCCATCGATCGTGCTTGGGAGCCGGAGGCGGCTCCAAGCTCGTCTCCGAGGCTGGAAGGCCCCGGAGCCGAGTTGCTGGAGACCCCCGAAGTCACCCGAGCTTCCTTGGCGCAGGTCTTTGCCCGTGGCCAGGACTCCGAGAACGACGGCCTCTCACCTGGATTCTTGGAGGGGCCCAAACACCAGCGCCTCGTAAGGGGACTGGCACCCAAGCACCGAGGCGTTCTTGTAGGCCGCGTCCGAGCAGTGCAGGCAAAGACGAAGTCTTTCGCTCTCGAGTTGGCTCCGGGTGCCATCTCGGTCCCGTTGAGACCCGGAGCTGGGATTTTCTTCGACACTGGCGACTTCGGCGATGATGTCCTGGGAGCGAAAATCTCGAAGCTGAGGCTGCCCAAGGCTGGAGCAGTGGAATCCAGTGAGGGCTTGGAAAAGGGAACAGTTGTTTTCGTGCGGCTGGAGTTCTTTGGCGAGACAGCGCGAGAACGCTTGAAGCGATTAGGCTCGGAGGTAAAGCCTGGAGATTACGTCTGGCGAAACAAAGACGAAGCATTAGAGGAGCGGGCGAGGATGATCAAGCTGTCGCACCTGCCTGTCAGAGACGTGCCTGCTCCGCGACTCTCACCCGCTCGGACGCAGACACTGAAGCCTGGCTCCGCAAAGGTGGCGGAGATTTTAAATTCGCTGGTTTCTCCTCCGCTGCCACCATGGGAGCAGCAGAAGTCAACATCGTTCATGCAGTCCGAGCTGCCCGTACCCCGCTTGACGGTTCTGTGCCGCAGCCCAGAACAAGCAGCTGCTGTACTGGCACTACCCAGGGGCTTGGTCTACGAGTTGCAGCTGGATTTTTTGGAGGTGAACGGCCTGCAGGCACGTCGTCATCCGGTAGTGCAATCTTTTCGGGGTTTTCGATGCGGGAAACGCAGTCCTAGCTGTCTTCAGAGTAGTATAATACGCTTCACAGCTCGCAAAAGCTCGCCATACGTTGTCACTCTAAGGAGAGTGTTGAAGCTGCACGTGCTGCATCGCAGCGCGTCGCCGTCTGCCTGCCGCGCATCATCAAGCCGAATGAGGACCGCCTTTGGCAGCTGCGCAGCCGCAGCTAAACGGTCAACTCGCTTCTGCACGTAGAGTGACATGCTCGAGCACTCAGCGGGTTGTTTGCGGGCCATAGTGGTGTGGCTGAGTAGCTTACGGTGCGTGTCAGGGCCCAAACCACTCCGAGCCCGATACTTCAGCCTCAAAGAGCGAAGGCAGGTACAGTACCAACACAGGCCCACAAGCAGGATTTCAGAATTGTTGGAAAAAGGTTTAGCTTGTCTTGTTGGAAGCTGCGCGAAGGAAGCAGCACCTGGCCTTGCAAAGGTTCTACCGCCGCCTGGAAACCGATGCTTTGATAGTGCGGGGCAGCGGAGCTTTGTACCAACTCCTGGGCTTGGGAGACCAAGGCGAAGGCTTGGAATTTACAGCCTTTCACAGTGCATCGGCTTAGAAAAGTGCAGATAATGCAGATGGCAAGGCAAGGTGTTGCTGCCCAGCATCTACAGTAGTGCGATTGTGCGGAATCAGCTATAGAGACCGGGAAAGACGGAATGCAGAGCGCGGGGCCTCATGCTACGGTTAGATGCTGTCAACTTAGGACTGTGTCAGTTGGGTCGAGTTGCTTGTCGTAAGCTGGTTTGGCTTGATCTCGTCTTTGGGTTTTGGTTGTGCTGCAGCAATGATTGACTGTGCAGATGGCAAACCGATGTTTTGTTGCGACGGCATGACCCCGGGGAGGCCGCCCCTACGATGGCCCCGACGTCGTCGGTGACTTCAGTCTGACTCTTGCCAATACTGTGCAAGCAACGGGAGCATCACATTGCTTGGGGGCTTCTGCCTGTAAGTGGCGCGGCTGAACCTCGCTGGGCTGACACCTTCTCGCAAAACACAGATCTCAGCACGGTTTGCTAGTGTCGGCTGGATTTGTTCTCGGTCATGCTGATGTCTGGTGTTTCAATGACTGTCCGAACTGGGGTCGGGATAACTGTAACTGAGATCTGCCAGAACCAGATTTGCAGAACCCCCGATAAGACTCAGTTTGCCAGAACTCAGGAACGCTGCCAACACTGTGACTGCTGGCTTCTACTTGGGCTTGCCAGGCATAGCATACTGCCTGGATGACAGCTTGCAGACAGCGGCAGCCGTCAGCATACTGAGAGCTTCGCATTCCATATCATATACAGATTGCCAGCAAGCACCGCAGTTACACAGCTTAGAGTCGATCCCGAAGCCACAGCGCAGGCTTGGAGCGCCTCACGCCGACGCACGACCTCAGTGCGATGCAGATCTGCCAGACTCTGGGCCTGTCATATTTGTAGCAAACGATAGTGTGAGTGCACACGCAGGTTAGCTACTTCATGTTGTCATGTCTACAGGATTTAACAGTCAGTGCTTTCTAGAGCAAGACAAGGAGAGGGGAGAGAGAGCGGGAGAGGCAGCGAGACAGTCGGGGGCGCACTTGCGCGCGGTGTAGGGGGTAAAACCCCTACACCATAGCCCTGGCGAAAGAAAGAAAGAGGCAGCGAGCAACAGCAACGGTAACCTTCAAAATAAAACAGAGGACCTGTCGTTCGCGGTGGGCAATCCAACGCAGCAGAATGACGCTCGGCAGTAGCCGAATGCCTGATACTATGAAACAGCATCTGTCTTACAGTTTCTAAGGGGCCGGAGTTCGCAACAAAGAAGCGCATGCAAACAGAACAACGGGCAAATCGCCTGCCAAAGCCAAAGCCAAAGCATTGCTGGGAAGTGCACAACGGACGCCATTGTGCCCATGTGCTTGCAGACGGGGGAAGAGCACATGCACGCAGTCAGCAAAGTGTTGTAAGTTAGATTGCCGCCTGGCCTTTCATTATCCTGTGGCGCTCTCAACTGCTCGAAGCTGCAGATCTGGGCTCGACCGCCCTACGCTAATGTCAGTGTTGAGCTCATGTTGGCACTTTTTCTAAGAAGGGACAACAGATATCACATGTTCGATCAGCCTTTGTAACTTCAGCCTGCAGAGATTTTCATGAAGTGGGCACACGCAGAAAGACGAAAAGGCACGTGATCTGCAGCGGTGCGGAAAGACAAGTAGCAGGCCGATGCACACCTCCAGCCAAGGATGGCCAAACGCCTGGGCCCGGACAGAGCTGGCCGCCTGGAGGCTGCGGGCACAATTGTTGTTGTCCTTCGGGGTTGATAGCTTGGACTGGGACTGGGACTCTTACTGGAAGGCCCGATCTGAGGTTACAGGTTGGGGCAAGGGAAGTGCGCCATCTTGAGCGGTTGTGCCCCGCCCCTAGGGCCCTAGGGTGTACCTTTGTCTCGGCAGTACGAGATGCTCGTTGAGACCTCGAGAAGCGAGCATTCCAAATTTCTTGTGTCGATCGCAAGCAGCATGAGGTCGTTGCGCATCAGCACTTGCCCATCTTTCACACGGAGCACTGCGTTTTTGCTCGCTTCCTGAGCAAAGGGAGCCTTGTCAAGGAAGTTGACTTTGAGATTCAATTCAAGTTTTGTTCTTTCCAGTATTCCGAAGCTTGAAGTTGTCCAGAGACACAGAGAGGGGAGAGAGAGAGAGAGAGAGTGTGTGTGTGTGACGTGATTGCCAAAGGAACGACTTCACAGACTGTGGCCATCCTTGTGAGCGATCCTCGCTGCACCTCCGGGACTCCAATGGCAAGGACCACAAGGCCAGAAAGACTCAGCTGGCAGATGAATTGCGGCCAATAAATACGCAGATGCACTTCTTGGCCAGGTCCTTGCAGACATGGGCTGCCGAAACACAGTCTTCAACGCAAAGGCGTGGGACTATTTATGAAGCCACTGCAATAAGCCTTTGGCTGCTCGTCGCCCGAAATGGGCGGAAAACATGGCATGAGCCTGGAGGCCCTGAATTCCTGCATGTACCCTGCAAAGGCGCAGTCTGCAGCCATGGACCTGGCAGCATTCGCAGCTGCAGGGGTAGGTGCCTGGGACTATGTTAAACCTCTTGCAGAGTCGCCAAGGCGAGGTGACACATCCGAAAGCATCAGTGCACCTCAACTGGGTCGTCATTTGAAGACTGGGTTTGTCATACATGTAACTTATCCCGAGCAGGATTATCCTTTGGCTTTTCGGGGCTTTGGGAATGAATACACTGTGAGATATGTCGGCGATGGGCACTTGTTGGAACTGGTGTGACTACTTGGACTGGAGTTGTCTGCTGATTGCCCCTGCCCCTATCCTAATGCCAGCATTCGGTCAGCTGATTGGGATATCTCACCCCCAAGGCATGTCTGCGAGATGTTCGAGCCCGATGTTCTGTAAGTGAGATGCATGGAATTGGTTGCAGAAGCACCACTGCTGAGCCAGCTTGCTGAAGGGTGTTTCAAACTTCGTTTGTGCCTTCCGAAAGCGGTACCCGGGCACAGCAGCAGAGAACACGAAAACGGCTCACTTCTGCTTTGGAACTTGCAGGCTTTCTGCGCTTGGAGTTGGTGGATGAGCCCGCCGAGTCCGTTGCTAATCTGGCACCCTGGCAATGGACTCCTTACGTTCTGGAGGTTTTAGGGTTTTGCCCTCGGCGAGGTTCCTTTGAGTCTTCGATCATCCCAAAATATCCATGATGATGAGTGGGAAGGTGAAGCGTTATCATGCTGCGGCGCGTGGTCGACTCCCGGCCGACAAGCTTTGGGGCTTTGTGGCCCAGCTGACGGACGGCCATGGTCATGTCGGATTCAGGGATTCGGATGCGAGGTTTCTTTAGTCTGACAGCGGTGTGGGCTTTGGTCGAGCGAGCGGATTTGAACCCTGGCATCACGAATCCAGCCAAGCTGCGCCCTCCCTGAAGGACTCGAACGGTCGATGCCAAGGCGTGGATCGAGGCAGCTTGGACGATGCCAGCAGCATGGCTGCCAAAAGCGAGGATCGATACGATAGCTTTGATAGCTGGTGGCTTTTGGGGGAATTACCAGGGCGCAAGTCGTGCCCCAATTTTTTGAGACAAAGCAAAGCAGCCCATCAAAGGCAGCCCCACTTCGCAATTGAATTACTTAGCAACTCACGAGAGAAACTTCCAGGTTGGCGCGAGAGGGACAAGTCCGAGATGAAAGTGACGGCAGCTGCGCAACGAGCTCGCTGATGCTTTCGTTTATATGCTTCGTTGGATGCACAGATGGCAGGCTTTCGTGCGAGTTTTATCGCAGACTGCACTGCAAAGACCCGCTATGACACCGAGATGATGCCGGAGAAAGAAGCGCAGAGCATCTTGTGGACATGTTGCTACCTGTTACCTGCATCGCTCAACAGGATCGCAAGGTCCTTTGCTTCCTGCAGGGGAATTTATAATAGGAGGTACTACAAGTACGACGAACCACGAAGATTCTGGGATAATTCTATTTTAGCTTGGTGCAGACACCTGCCACTTGCCAGCTTTTCTTTTGTGAGGAGCGCTCTCAGGGCTTCGCGACGCAGTGCAAGCGCGCATTGGCCTGGGACCTCAGCCGGGGGAGATCAGTGTCAGGGTAGCCAGAGCTCCAGCGCTGGGACCAGATCTTGATGCATCTCTGCGCTCAGGACAAGTTGGGTGTCTTGGGTGTCCTGACAATGACACTCGGCTGCATTGCATTGTGCCAGATGGTGTAAGAAACTGGCGTGCTTGGTTGTCCGGGATATGTATGCAGCTTGCAGGACATCAGGCACAAAGGCAGGCATCCGGCAGGAGTTACATCAGATCGTTGTCATGCGGACCTCGATCCTTGCATTACAGTGTCCGAGTGTGAGATTGAACAGAATATATTCTCCCGGAGATCCAAGGATGTCACCAGGTTCCGGACGGTCACAGGCCGCTTGCAACAGTGCCTTGGACAAGGCCATCCGCAACGCGGTGGGCAGCCCCGCGCACGAGACAGGTGCGCAGGGGCTGCCCAAAGACGGTCTCTCGGTGATGGGTTGCGGACCCACGTCCCCAAAGGGGACGCAAGCCGGACTCACTGGTAATCTGGGTGGATCACCGACTTCACGGACGCAAGGATCACGGAAAGGACGGGAGACGGACTCGGAGGAGATGTCGGCCATGGGATTGACTGTCCAGAGGATGGAAACTGCCAAGGCCGCCGAGCATGCCTCTGAGATGGAGGAGCCTCAAGAACCTGAAGAGCCACAAGAAGGCGAGGCGAACGGGCTGAAGAGTCTGAGGAGCTTAGGTCCCATGTCAGGCAATAGATTTCCTAGATTTGGATCGGGATCTTCGAGCTTGGCTTGGCTCATACACGTACCCTTGGTCGCCGAAGGCAGGAAGACAGAAAAGGAAGTAACTCTCAACATTGTTGTACTGTAGATCACTTATTTCGATTGTTGTCAGAGCGCAACTTGGCGTTTTCTTTCTCGCAGAGATGAGATGCAGAAACACACAGTGCCTTCCAATATTCAGCTGCAGCACATGCTGTCATTCAAAGGTTCCGGTGCTATCACCTGCTATCACAGGATGTCACAGGCTAAACATGCTGCAGGCTTACATGGTTAGGCCTAGGAAAATTCGCCGGAGTTCAACTGAGGAATTCAAGGTTCATTTGCATGCACTCAAGTTTTGCGCAGACCAGCTTTCGTAGTCGTAGCATGCACTCCACTGCCCTGAAGGTGAAGAGGAGTTGCCACGGACCCAGTTGCTTTGTTTTCCTGTGCACAGGCACAGCTTGAAGAACTCACATGTGGATGGAGATTGGGCCCCATAAGCATCATTCGGCGTCCCTCGGTTGCCGGGCGACCTTGCAGGCCAGCCGAATTGGACGCCGAGTTCGACGTGGATGAGGTCTGCATCCACCCTCAAAATGGAACGAGTTTTCGTTTGTGGGATGTTGTGGGAGCAGGAGACATTCATTTTCCCGCACAGGAAGAACTCACAACAAGTGATCATGAGCCCTTAGCGATTACTTTTATTTCTAGCAGTGCTGCGACTGCAATTTGTGCACACTCTGGATGTCCCCTCCGAGAGCCTCATTTTGATTGGCTGGCGGCCGTAGGCCCCGCCACCATTGCAACAAGATCTCGTATTTGTGGCGATGACCACTGCGTTGCCAAAAGGCTTTCAGACTTCAGGCATCTCTCGTGCTCAAGCGCCAATGCCAGGAAGAGCTCCTGTCCGATGATCATCTGAAAAGTTCCTGGCCAGCAGAGCATTCCAGTCTTCAGCTTGTGCATGTATAGCCAGTATATGCGGTAGTGTAGCCATATCATACTACTATGAAGTGTCACAGTTTCGGCAACGTTCGAAGGTCCAAGCGCACAGAGCCCCCTCTGAGCCCAAAAGAATCAAGAACTGCAGCGCACGGTAAGGCTGGCAAGGCTGGAGAGGTCGGTGCAGAAAGTCCCGAGCCTCGAGCCTCTCCCCATACAGTAGTGCGCGCGAGGACACGGCCCAGAAGATAAGCCCTGGCTTTTGCAATATCCCTGCTCAGGAAATAGGAAACCGTTGCTTTAGGGTGCCATTCGCCTGAGGGACCTCAAACAAGTCCAGTTTTAAATCAAGTGGTTCAGGCTACCAGTGCTTGGAGTCAACTCAAGCGATACGGGTCTTCACTGCAAGCTCCACCGCTCACCACAGACGATGATACGAAGCCAGCAAGCCCCCTCTTCTTGTCCCATTTTCAAGGGCCAAGCCTCTCAGGCATCCGCAAGTTGATGTTCATCCTGCGGCTGTGGAGCGGGAACAAAGCCTGCGACCTGTGGTTGGAGTTTTGCTGTCCGGATGTTCGCATGGCGAACGCGAGATGTTCAAGTCCTGTCGGTATCAAGCCAGAAGCCGTTGCACTCGGAGACTTCGTGGCACGTGCCTGCGGAAAACTCCACGAACTAATGTAAAGAGAGAGCTGGCCAAAGCAGCTGCGACACCTTCACCTAAATCCAGCTGCTCGTCGCTTCTGTGCTTCAGAGCCCAACTAAATCGGAAGACCATGACGTTGCGATCAAGGGAGTGAGAATGTACTAGGACAGAACTGACATAACGTATCAGAGAGAGAAGCAAGTGTGCCCAGAGTGTCGAGGCATTCAAGAATGGATCGGGCGAGGATTTGGAGGCATCGTCATTTCCCGTACCCGCACAGAGAGTCTGTGAATCGATGTTGCGCACGAGAGCCTGTAGACTCTTCGTGCACGATGTGGCCTTGCCGTGAAGTCTGAGCTGTTTCACGAATTATGCGGCGTTGGAGGGAGCTGTCAAGCCCCGGTGCCATCAGATTGAGAAGCACTCCAGCGGTTTTCGAAGCTTAATTTCACGTTGGTTGACGTGGCTTGCAGCCTCTGGCTTCGGAATGCGGATGTAAACGAGCCGGTCGCTTGCTGAGAGGCCTCAAAGCCGCTTGCCGATGCGGCAGAGGCGGGCATCAAGATCTGGAGAGATACAGTGAACTAGACTCGTATGCGGATATGTACACTTTGAAGTAGCGCATCACGCCTGCATACGAGCTTCGTTCTTGCATTCGTGATTGCAAGATTTTACATCCAAGCCTCACGTTCTGCTGGATTGCTAGACTTCCTAGAGCTGGAAACCGTGAAGCTGACAAGGAGCGTGAGACGCCTGTGCAGCAGGCCGGCCTGTGGCGAGGGGATGCGAGGGGTACACCAGAGACTCCAATATCCCCCGATTAGTGAGGAGTCCACAAACCAGAGTAGGGGTCTACTTGCACAAGGAACGTTGTGCTGCTTTGGGACAGTTCTGGGCATACCCATTGTCACTCAAGTCGTGGCTTGCCTTGCTCGGTGCGTTCTGCGGTGCGTGTACCATGTGTGTCTATGTGTGAACGCATGATTGAGTCAAGCCTGGCACCTGGTCGTGTCAATGCCAAGAGCGGGGGTTTAGATGCAAACGGTTCCAGGGCTTGAAAATGTCCTGGCCCCTCCAGAAGAAGACGAAGCAAGCATTGTCTAAGGCTCCACAAAACCCCCAAAAGGCAGGGCAAGCTAGCACAGTCCTCTCTCAACGAGGGAAAGAACGCCGGCACGACTCAGAGACCCTCGAACATGTCGCCAACATGTGCGACCCAACTCCAACCCTGGCTTGAAGAGATGTGAGGTCTTCGACGTTGTAGCACGCGTGAAGGCAGGATTCCCAGATTGCCAGACATTCCAGACTTTGGGATTGATCGGCGAGCGTGACCCCTTGGCAGAAGCTTTCGTGTAATGACGGGTCCCAGTCGGGGCGGAGGTCTGCCCATGATGACATCTAGCGCTCGAGTATAGGTCCAAAAGCCATATGCCTTGACGCTGCAGCTCTTATGCCGGGTTAAGTTGAGCTTGAAGCCCCCAGGCTAGATCTGGCGCCATGCTCTGCAGTCAGCGCAGCTTTGAAAACCTCCTGGAAATCCTCCAGAAAGTGGACAAGGCAAGCAGACGGCCGGAAGTTGGGATGCGGGTGTGAAGAGTGGTGCCCTCATTTGGCTGTTGGAGTCACTTTGCTGTGACCTGCCAGGCGGCAGGCGCCAAGATCTACAAAAAGATTCCACTCAGCAACTTGCCAAGCACAATAAAAGATCAGATCAGGCCTGACCGTCATTCCAGGCGGGTTAAGGCGGCGGTGAAGGCATGGCGTGCTTGGCTCATGGCCGGGTGAGCAGCTGCTTGAAAGGATGCTTTCTTGATCTTCGTCATTGATGAGAAAATCGGCCAGGTAGAGTCAGGGAAGCTTTCAACGAGCAGATCTCTTTGCAGATCAGCCTTTCCAGATGCTCGGCTGCGGCGCTGCGCTGCGCAAGCCATGTCACCGGTTTAGCGCGGCAGTCGGGAATATGTTGGCAGAGTAGCACCAAATGGGTGCACTTCCAAGTACCTTTTCTTCAGTCCCACGCGTAGACTGTCTTCGTCTTGCGGCCTTGCGTTTGAACTTCATGTGGGTTTGGGCCTAGTGGCGACAATAGCATCCTCCAGCCAGCAACCGATGTTGAAAGCATGTAGTTGTTATGCCGAATGGCAGAGATGGAGGGTGGATCTCCAGCTGTTGTGTGCGCTCCTGAGCACAAATTGTAAGGCCGGTATGGCCTCTCGGCCGCGGAAGCATCGAAGGGCATGGTCTTCGAGACGTTTCGAACTTGCATGATGCTTGGATGCAAAGCAGCGGCATTAGGTGAGCTGACAGCGAATGCAAGACACCAACGCAGTTGCAAGTTGGCACCCAGTGTCGTGTTTCAACTGGTCAGCCTCCAGCAGCGCCTATCAACTCAGGTCACAGGGGACTGCAGCCATAATCTAGACTTCAACCAACACCGGACATCGAGATTACATACAGCACCGTTGTTGCGTCCGCTTCTGCCCTGACCCCAATCGCAATCCTTTCAGCCAACCAGGCACCGTCTCTTCTACCGGCCGCTGGAGACAGAAGAGGAGGTGGCATCTTGTAAAGGTTCAGTGATTCCAAGCGGTGTTGTCAGGAATGGATGCGGGAGTTCCAGTCCTTTCTTGAGTCTTCAGGCTAGGGAACTGCTGCGATGTGCAGGTTCCAAGGCGGAAGGGCAAATCTTGAAGGCTATGGATTCCGTTCCGAAACCCAAACCTCAATTAGCGAGGTCAAGGAGCTGCTGATCCAGTCGAAGGCCGCTTTCTAAGAAAGTGACCTGCTCAGCGAAGCGGGTGTGAAACAAAAGAAGATGTCAAAATGCCATGTGCATGGGCATGCCTGCGCAATAAATGATCTATTGGTTATGTTCTATGAGAGTCAGACAGCACATTTTCTCTAAATGTATCCAACTATATCTTCCAAATCTTCTTGAGACAAGAGTTTAGTCATCTGAAGACAGATTGAATAATTGTAATTTTATTCTTGTAAAGCTGAGCTTGAATGCATTCGTATATTCATAAAGCTTATATGTGTTGATAAGATTAGAAAACATTGTGGTAAAGAATCATTTGCTTTATTTACAAGATTTTCAGATTATTTCGAAATTATTTCGAGAATGAGGTCATTACAATGTAATTCATGAAAACGGTGTCGTGCTGGTTGCGTCCTCTCGATACTAAAATCTCGAAATTTTGCTAGCTTTGGGAAATCTCGGACTCGTGGTGTTGAAAGTATAAAAAAATTGTGGTAAAAGAGTGAGATGCAGAAAGATAGAATTCTATAAATTTTTTGGCGGGATCTTTCGTATAGTCTTTATTGTATGAACCCAAATAGATATCAGTCATATATTAGGGTTCATA